TGCAGACGGCACGACACGACATGAGGAAAGTGCGGGTTGCATGCAGGAGGGGAGAAGCAGCAGGCAAGGTGGGCATGCTCAATTGTATGCACAGAGAGGAAAGGAGGGGAAGGCAGAGGAGAGGAGGGGAAGGGAGAGGCGAGCAGTGGAAAGGAGGGAAGGGCAGGGCAAAGCGGTACGCTTTATCGAAGCGGCCGGCGGTGGTGCAGGCGGTGAGCAGCGCGTGGAAGGTGCGGATGTTGGGCGGGCGCCCTGCAGTGCGCATGTCCCAGTCCACTCGAAACACCTTCTCCGCGTGGCCCGTGCGGCTGTACGCCGTCATGACGCAGTTGAACATGTAGCGCTGATGGGAGGGAGGGAGGGGGGATGACACGGTCGATTATGTAGCGCTGATTGGGGGAGCAGGATGGGGAAGACGGGGAATGGCCACATGATGAACCACTTACTCCGAATCAGGTGTCAAGAAGACAAGGTCATGCAGGCAGAATGCGCGATCAGCACGTGCCATCCTCTTAAAGCTGTTGCTCACATCGGGTGTGATGCCGCGCGCGCGCGCATCTGGTGGAAGAAGAAGACGAGGTCGTGCAGGTGGTTGGTGCACTCAGCACGTGCAACCTGGCAACGAGCAATGCTGACCTCTAAACGTGGTGCTCTGTGCTCACATCGGGCGTGATGCCGCGCGCGCGCATCTGGTGGAAGAAGAAGGCGAGGTCGTGCAGGCGGTTGGCGCGCATGCACGCCGTGATGGCCGCGTGGAACGTCACGAAGTTGGGTTGTATGCCGTCCATCAGCATGTCGCCGTACAGCGTGCGCAGCAGGTACGGCCTGGTGGGGGTTGGGGGGGTTGGCGAATGAAGGGGACACAGGAGACACAGCTATGGTGGGAGAGGCGAGTGGCGGGCGGGGGGAGTGTGGGAGTGATCGGCGGTGAAGGATCCTGGCATGTGGATAGTGCGGCGATGGAACCGAGAAGATGGCGCGCGAACAACTATCATTGCGTGATTCGCGAGTGGATCCGATGCACCACATGCGCCACGGCGGCTTACTTTCGCGACCGCGAGAGCTCGAGCGCCGCGGCGTTGTACTCGTTGATGTTCCGCGCGTACACCACCGCCTCGTGCGCGTCGTGCTCCCGCTTCATCCTACCCCCGCTATTGTCACTCCCCTCGCGCCCCTCGCTAACGCCGGCGGATGTGCTTGCAGCGAGGGAGTAGAGTCGGCTAAAGAATTGGTTCCCGAAACGAGTGCTTTCGGTATGGTCACACCCAGGATCGTGCGAACGGACCGCGGAGGGAAGGATCGGGAGCGATGTGAGGAGCGTGTGATCAGGATCGCTGCTCCGGGATGGAACGGATCTGATGAACGCATCGTACGACTGGCCGCGACAAGCGCCGTCAATGACGTCGTTGACTCGGATCGCGCGATGGACTAAGCCCCTTCGCGCGGCGACAGCCGCGGCCACGTGGCGCTGAGCCATCGGAGAAGCCACGCGACGCGAGGCTATGAGGGTGTGTGAACCGTTGACCAGCAGAGGAGAAATTCATCAGCATTACAGAGGCGGTGTTCTGGTGACTCCTGCTAGAGGGGGAGGTGGAGGGGCGAATGTAAATGACGATGATTCCGCGGAAGTTTTCAAGCCCGATTTGACAAACTCCCGCTACAGCCGTAGACGGGAAATTTCAGGCTGCAGGGGAGGAAGGATCCGACGGTAAATGACGAACATGTGGGGACATTTTCCTGGTCTAGAAACGGGGGTAGCTATTTCGCGCTAACAAGCAAGACGGGGTACAAACAAAACCAGGGTTACTTTTTGTCGGAAAACAGAAGTCAGAAGCAAGACGGGGGTAGCTGACTAGGGTTTGCTCTAAGAAGGGGACGTGGTTTTTTTTTTTTTCCAAGGTCTTGTGCGTGTGGAAGGGAGAATCCCTGAAGCAGTCGTTAGTTTTACGGGTGAAATGTCGGTTTTCCCTCCCCAGCACCTCCCTCATATGCCTGTCCCACACCCTCGTGAGGAGTGGTTGCCGGAATGGGGGGCGAGGGAGGCAAAATTCCAAAGGTGATGAGGAAGGTGGGGAGGGTAAATGGGAACCTTCCAAAGGGTGCACATCCCTGAGGGTAAATGAGCGTTCTGTTGCCATTTACCTTCGGTTTGGTTCGGAGGGCAAATAGGAGGCTCGGCACGGTTTCCCGGGCTGACCGTCGTGTCGAGCCAAAAAACGCAGAGGGGGGAAGATTCCTATTTCCCCTCGCTCCCCCCTCGCCAGTGCCTAGAGATCACCACCGTTAGTAAGAGGGTAGTACTCGATACAGTAAGAGCCGCCAACACTTTTCAAGTAGCTTGTACCTGTTGCTTCTCCAATTTTTCACTCAGCCAGCTGTCCTGCAGAAATGCAACCCTAATTTTGAATAATAATGAAACATGATACAGTGTAGCATGAAGCATAAAACTAACAGCATGACAGTTTGGTTAAGTTTTTTGGGCTAACGAGGAGCTATCCATGTGCCCGGCTTCTAGCAACTCCTCTTGCAAACCCTCCCTCGTTTCGACCCTACCTCGCCCATCCGCTTCCTCTACACCACCCTCCCCATCCAACACCACATTCGTCATCTCTATCGATCCTCCCTCCCCTCTCTCACCTCTCCCCTCCTCTCTACTCTCCTCTCCACCACCCTCCACCTCTCCCTTCTCATCCTCATCACCATCCCCCCCACTCTGCCTGAAGTCATGAGGGGGAGAGCCCATGTAAGCATCAAGCTCAGCGCTCGATCCCTCATTGGCCGAAATGTATGTAACTTCCGTTACAGGCCGCCGTGCCAGCAGTGCGAGGGAGACGACGTATATGAGAAGCACGACCGCTATGGCAATCCCGAGGGGGATTTGGGCGCCCTTGGGAATGCTGTCTGATACCAGGTACTCCACACAGGCTTGCACCACGAGCACGCAATTAACAAAGATAACTACAGTGCCGATGATGTAAGCAGCTACAGTGACCTGGAGGGACGGAACAAAGCGGAGGAGAAAAAGTGGACATACATAGGGTGGAATGAAGGGGAGAAGGGGAGCATGCACAGATGCATACATGGATGTGATGCAGTAACCTGAAGACATGCCACACAGGGATTGGTGTACGCCTACAGCTATCACAGGCAGTGGAGGTATGCTACTCGCTGTCACACACTGCTCACCGTGGGGTGGTTGGTGAAGGGCCCCATTTTGACAGGACTGCTGGTGAACTTGAGCAGAGGGATGAGCGCATAGGGCAGGCCGAATGACAGGATGATCTGCGGGCGTGCATTGTGGGGGGAGAAGGGCATGGGATGGGAGTTAGGCAGATGGGACGTAGGCAGATGACGATTAGGGATAATCAGAACATTAAGCAAAAGAGAGGTGGAAAAAATAGAGCAGGGTGAACGAGGAGAAGCGGCAAAATAACTGATGGAGCTGGATGTCACAAACAGAATGGAAGGAGCAGCAGACAAAACAAAATTCCACTCAAAAAAAGGTTCACTGTCTCTTACACTCTCCTCCTCTCTCCCCTCCACTCCCACCTACCGAGGACGCAATGATGAGGTTGCCAGCGCCGGTAGCGCCAGCCACAATGGCCACAACCAGTGACGGCACAATCGCAACCAGCCGCGTGAGCAAATTCCGCAGCCACGAGGCGAGGTGCAGCTCCAGGAACCCCGACATCACGTACTGCCCCGCGTACGTCCCCGTGATGGTGGAGCTCTGCCCCGAGGCTAACAAGGCGACGCCGAAGAGCGTGGAGGCCCAGGCGCCGAGCACGTCGTGCAGCAGGAAGTAGGCGTTGCTCAGGCTGATGTCAGCACAGCTCGCCTGCACGTCCGCGGAGAGGTTGGGCGCGGAGCAGACCGCGCCGCCCACGCAGATGACGGCGACGTTGATGGCGAAGCTGATGATGAGCGCCGCTGCCACCTCCAGTAGGGAGTAGAGGCACCCGTCCTGATGACCAGGGAGGAGAGGAGGGAGCGGAGATGAGGGACAGCGTGGGGTTGACCAGAAAGCAGGAAATTCTCCGCAGGAGAGCGTAAAGGGATAAGGGCAAACGGATAAAAGACACCCTTACAGAACCCGTTCACCTCAGCAGCACATGCCAAATACCAGCCCCCACCACAGTCCACATCACACCAGAACACCGGCAGTGAGAGCGTTGCACCTTGATGCCGGCAGCGGTGCGCTGGTGCTTGCGACTGAGCACGAGAGCCGAGTGCAGGAAGAGGTTGTGCCTGGGCGGGGCAAGGAGAGAGAGGTGCGGTGAGATTGGGTTGAGCGGGGAAGAGAGAAATGAGAACGTGTGGCCATTTTGAGAATCTAATGCTGAAAAAGGTGAGGGAAGGGCAAGGTGATAACGCAAAGATTTCTTGAGGCACATATATGCAGCATGGTGCAAACAACAAACACACAACATGAGTGTGTGCAGCTAATGCAATGATTCTAACCAACTTACAGCATCCCTCCTCTCACACCATCACTCCATCTCACCCCATCCATCTCCCTCCAACCCCATCCATCCCCCCCACCCCCACCACAACTTACGGCATGACAAGAGCGCCGATGAGTGAGATGGCGATAGCGAGCGCTCCCAAGTACTGTATGTGCGGCACGCACATGCCCTCCAGCACAGCCATGCCGTCCACTCAACCCCCCTCCCCGCCCCCATTCATTCGTCCCATTCAACCCCAACTTACGGCATGACAAGAGCCCCGATGAGCGAGATGGCAATTGCAAGTGCCCCCAGGTCCTGTATGCGCGGGACAAACATGCCCTCCAGCACGGCCATGCCGTCCACTGGCGCGCGGCCCATCTCAATGAAGAAGCAGCACGCTATCACCATCACCAGCAGCGCTATAAACACCTCCAGATTGCGCACCTGGTGGGGTGTGCGGGAGAAAGAAGGTACTTTTTGAGAATTCTCAAAAAACAAACGCTCAAAGAGTCACTTTAAGAAGCAGCACGCTATCACCATCACCAGCAGCGCTATGAACACCTCCAGATTGCGCACCTGGTGGGGGAGGGGAGGAGGTTGGGGAGGCGAGGAGAGGAGGTGAGGAGGAAGGGGTGAGGAGGAGAAGGAAGGCACTGAGTCAGCTTTCAAAGGGTCGAGCAGCCACCAGCAGCAGCAGCGGAGGAGAGTGGAGGAGCGGGGTAGATGAGGAGGAAATGAGGGGCAAATGAGTGATCAACAACCACTGTCTCAGACAACTCAGATGGTTGCGAAAGGCTTGTGAGAAAGAGAGGTGCGGGAGCAGAGAGGAAAAGTCACCCCGAATCGTTGGAGGCCGAGGAAGAGGAGCGTGCTGAAGCCGGTTATAATGACCCCCGCCCATAGGCGAATGCCAAACAACATGTTGAGCGCAAAGGCCGTTCCTATCACTGCCATGCGTGCACAGGTACACACACGCACATGCACGCACACACTCACGTGCACACATGCATGCGCACACAAATACACCACACACACACACACACACACACACGCGCGCGCGCGGATTGCAGAGGGAAGATTGAGTACAAAGGCATGTGCAAGCCATACAGAAGCAAGCGCTCACGAGTGTCGAGCAGCGGTTGTGGTGGATACACACCATATACACCCGGGCAATGAGCGGGAGGGAGAGGAGGAAGAGGCGAGGAGACGAGAAAGAGGTGGAGAGACGAGGGAGAGAAGGGGAGGGGAGGGAGAGAAGATACCTTCTGGGATGTCGCTGGCGATGATCTCAATCTCTGCAATCACCCAGAGCGCAAGGTTGACTCCTCGAGGATATTCCGCCCTGCAGTGCTGCGCCAGATGCTTGCCTGCCATTGTGCATACACCACATCACAGCATAGCACAGCACACCGCCGCGCAGCACAGCACAGCACAGCATAGCACAGATCAGCATTGCACAGCAAACCGCAGCACAGCACAGCACGGCAAAGCACAGAAAAGCAGAGCCATGTACACATGGCCATGGCATGGCATGGCATGGCATGGCATGGCATAGCATGGCATGGGCATCTCAGAGCATGGCATGGCATGGCATGGCATGGCATAGCATGGCATGATATAGCCAGGCATGGAACGGCATGCAGGCTTGAAGAGCGGCAGCATAGCATTGAAAGATGTGGAACCATGCTGTGGCTCCTTGTCTCTCCCCTGCTGGTGGGCTGAGAACTAACCTGTGACTATACCAAGGTTGGCGGACAGTGACTGTATAAGGAGGCCCGCTAGCGATGCCAGTAGAAGAACCCAAAGAAGCTGAAAACGGGAAGAAAAACACAAAAAGAGACAGACTTGCACGGGGGAATAAAGTCACACACACGCTGCTGATGTAAGGTAGAAAAATATAACAGGAGACTGAGGTGTAAGATGTGACCTACCGAGTATTGGTAAGCTGCTCCTGCCTTGAGATCACTCTCAACTGCACAAGAGAAGAATTCGAGACGAGCGAAAGGGGATGGTTAGAGAGGAGTAAATGCATGGAGTGAGTGCGTGTGATTGTGATGGGAAGGGGAGGAAGAGACGGTGAAGCGACGGCGCCTGTACCACACCGATTCACCAAGACTGCGGGCGCGCACCGGGCAGGGATGGTGTGTTTTGATCCGCATGGAAGACGAGTGCATGCAAGAGCCACAGTGTAAGCGATTCCGTGAGTGAGCACCAGACGAGCAGTTTTAATGTCTTACAATTGGCCGGGTCGATGTAGGCTATGGCGACGAGGAATCCCGGGCCGACGTACGCCCAAAATTTACTCCACCCTCGCTCCTGCGATCACTCAGGCGTGAACACGCACAGGTAAGCTGAACGCCGGCCATACAATACCTGCTGCGACCGACCTCAATCAACGAGGAAACGAACGTTGCTTTTCAACGGTCGACATCAACCTCAGTATTGTCGATACCAAAATGAACAAACCGCAGTGCTCCGCATTATCCGGCCGAGTCTCGCGCCATGGCCAATTACCTCGGGAACGTGCACTTGACCCTCGTCTTGATCCTTGCGGTCTGCGCCCTCGGTCGCCATGCTGCTGATCAGGCCGATGTTCTCCGTCATAAGGCGTACGACTAAATCGATCAACGTTCGTGCCTAGACCTTCGGACCATATGTGGAATGGATCAATATTTAAGCATCAACCATAAATTCATCTGGAAAGCAATCTACCAGCGCGTGTTTTCGTAACTCGCCAACGTAAAAGACTAAGATGGCTAGCCTTTGCTATAGTTAACCTGCATTGCTCCTAGACTGGTGAACTGGGGCGAAACGAAAAGCAACAGCCATCAATCAAAGAAACAGCTTGAAAGCTTGGTGGGTGGCACACTGCGCGGCCCCTCCACCACCCCTGCTGCACTGGCCAGCGCCGCATCGCAACGCACCGGAGGAAGGCGGGTGGGTGGGTTCTCGACAAGTCGATTTACCAGATAACGGAACGAAACTGTACATAATCTTTAACGTATCAATGGGATAGATTATATGGAAATGCACATGTTTTGAGCGAACAAAATTACTTTCAAGATGGTCGTGCATCTATGCAATCTTATTACACATCCCCAAAATGCATTACACCAGTCATCCTAAACCAGCATCTTAGCAGGAAACAGCAGTGGATGGTGCGTTGTGATCCACTTTGAGTGCGTACTCCAACCAATGAACGATGACTCATAAAGGAGATGGCAAGTTAACTCATAACAACTCTGTTGCACGCTGTATTGCACAACTCAACAGCTGCTGGTGTGGTCGCCTTCTGGCAGCATTGGCTGCACTGCTGCTTGATGTTCCTTGAAGTCTTGGGTGCACACACTGCAGAAGAGAACCAAAGGGAGAGATACTTGGATCAAGTTGTGTATTGAACAGCTTCTCATGTACTACGGTTTCTAACAATCAAGAAGCCAGACTTGCATGGAATGACTTGGTACTTACTGACGCATCCAGGCACAGGCTTGCAGTTGACAAACTTCCCATGGATGCAGGAGCAGCGCTGGCAGAGGTCGCCAGTCTTGATCATGTTGTGAGCTCCGTTCTTCACAAAAATTGGACCCCATCCTGGTCCAGCACTTACGCACTCATTTGGACCCTCTGAGGGAAATGAAGGTAAAACCACATAAAAGTGGACAAGGGTGAGCCGAAATAGAATGGTAGATGAAAAAATCAACGATACCATTACACAGTCCGTGTGGGTAACCAGATGGCTTATTATAACAGAAACGTTGACGGAATGTAATGGGAATGGAGCTCACGAGCACTGTTGATGCAGTTGCCAATAAATGTGTCGTTGACAAACCGTGATACTTCACACCTGGTGGTTTTAAGGAGAAACAGGAAGTCAAATAATGCACGGAGAATGAAAAAAAAACGCCAATAGCAAGTAGCTCATTCAAGAGTTGCCTTGAAGCAAGTCAGATGATTCTCTCTGCTGCTTAATCTCACAGCCCACGCGACTCAACTGGTTCTGTCTGGTGTCCTTGCATCGCGTGCCGTCCTTCCATCGCCCCACCGCGTCCTGCTTGCACTGCTTTCCCAACGGACACACGCAAGTGGGGCCGGACTTGAGCTTCTGGCACGTGCAGCGCGGACAGATGGTCGAAGCCGTGATGCCGCTGGTACCCGGTGCGAACATGACGGAGCGGAACATGCAGTACTTCTGATTTATCTGATCCACTGGTTAACAACGTCAGAAACAGAAAACGGAGAAATTACTCGAAGACGAAATACTCTGCGGTGTTGTCAAGCGTTTCTTGCTGTAGAGAGGGTCGCTAGAACAACAAATTGTCGGTAATTGATGGCTTACGAGGTACGTCGGAAGCACATTTTCCCTTAAACAAGAAATGCGGTGAGTTTTTCACCACCTTGGTCACCAAACACCTGAAATTATGAATCAAAATAGCAAACAGACGGTATTTAGATACAGGATATAAAAAATCGCTCTCGTCAACAACTCTCCCCTTGATGTCATGACATTCTCACAGCGTACCCGAAGTCTCGCTTGCATAAGGGCTTCATGGGGGTGTAGTTCTTGTCGTAGTAGCACGTGGATCCGTCAGGTAGGCCTGACGCAGCTCCAGTTGCACGGACAACCCATGACCCTGCATGAAGCACAGAGCATTAGGATCCATATTCGAATGTAAAATAGTATGTCGAGCAAGGGCAAGAACTTTCAAGAAAGTCCTCGCATCACCTGAAGTTGAAGCGAGGAGCAGCAGCAGTGGAAGAGATGCGAGGATCTTCATTGAAGATGTCTTGATCGCTTTCCGCTGCCTGCTACGATGGTCCAAGGAGCTATAGAAGATCACTATTCCAGGTGATGCAGATACTGTGTCCGAAAGAGTCAGGGCTATGGGATTTATAGCAGCATCTGAAAGCTTATCCAGGAGTCGCATCGGCCATGCTCATGGCAATGCTCTGCGGATGATGTATGGGGAGGGGCGGCACAGCGGAAAAAGTTCCATCCGTTGGTTCAACAAATGTGCGAGGGATTGGCGAACGCGCCGCTGCATCAGCTTGTCAGTGGGAAAATGTTATCAGATCTCGTTACAAGTCCGTCCAATTGTAACACACATTAGAGCCTACTTCAGTGCTTACAGTGAGGTACCACAAGGGTGTTGTGATGTGTTGAATCTGCAATCTTTTGTGGCAAAAAAGGGTTTTGAAGCACTGACCTCCAGTCGATAACTATACACATGCAGCATATGCGGTGCTGATCATGGCACAGAGCGAGATGTTTCCTGTCGACATTGAGGGTGTCCCCTGGTCTGGTTCTGTGCACTTTGGTACAGTGACCAGTTTGTACCACAAATATTTTTCAGTTATGGATCACCTCGCCTATACTGCTCAGTAAGCAACACTGCTTACACTGCTTCTTTGCGAAGAAGATGAATACCGTAGGTGCTGGTGTGGTTAGCTAAAGAAGGCTCAAGGAGAGCCAGTGATGGTATGGAGGTGCATAGGCGCCTCATCTATCTAAAGATGACGGATTGCCTGAAGCCTGTCGGTACACCCTGTTACACGCCGTTTCGCATAACTCAACACCCTCAGGTGTGGTGGCCTTCCTGCAGCACTGGCTGCATTGCTGTGCGACGTTGGTTGGGCTCTTTGGAACACACACTGCGAAAGAGCACCAAGGGGGCAAAACAAACATAAGAAGAAAGAATCAAGGACTCCAGTGTACTAACGAATAAGTGAACGCTACAACACATTCCATAACACTATCCCCCACGGACTGGCATGCAACTTACTGGCACATCCGGGCACAGGCTTGCAGTTGACAAACTGTCCTTTCATGCAGGAACAGCGTTGGCACAGGTCACCAGTCTTGGTGATGTTGTGAGCCCTGTTTCCCACAAAAATGGGACCCCACCCTGGTCCTGCACTGATGCACTCGTTGGGACCCTCTGACAGAGATGGAAATGTGAGAAGGAGTTGGGGGAACGCGACGAGAGAACGAAATGTTGGAAGAATGGGATAGTGAACACGTTAATGATTAATTAGATGAATAGTTCTGTAGCAAACAGATTGACAATAGGATTAGTAAGCATGAAAGCGGTAAGGAGGCAGGCAAAAAATACGGAGGGCAAGGAACTGACGGGCGGGGTTGATGCAGTTGCCAATGTATGTACCGTTGACCACTCGTGACACTTCACACCTGGTGGTGCAAAGCAGACATGGGAGGGCAGATACATACAATGTATCGAGAAATTTCTCCAGGTAATTCATCTGTGTGCAGGAGAGTCCAGTTCATGAAGACTCCAGATTCCTCCTTGGCCTCACTTTGTTCCATTTCCAAAGTCAGCCCCCCACTTCCCCGTTTTCCCACCCACTCCCATCCCCCACGCGACTCAACTGGTTCTGTCTGGTGTCTCTGCATCGCGTGCCGTCCTTCCATCGCCCCACCGCGTCCTGCTTGCACTGCTTGCCCAGCGGGCACAGGCACGTGGGGCCGCCCTTGAGCAGCCGGCACGTGCAGTGCGGACACATGGACGTCGCCGTGATGCCGCTCGTCCCCGGCGCGAACATCACGGAGCGAAACATGCAGAACCGCTTGGTTATTTGGTCCACTAAAGAGGGGAGAGGGGAGAGGGGAGGGGAGAAGGATTGTTGAAAAACGTATACTTTGGTTGATAATCGCAGTCAGTGCAGAGGGGAAATAGAAAGCATTTGAAGACTTACGAGGAACGTCAGAGGCGCATTCGCCTTTGAACTTGAAATGCGGTGAGTTCCGAACAACCTTGGTCACCACACACCTGAAAGAAAAAAATGTACGCACACAGAAGGAACGGAATTGAGCTGTGCCTGAATGGCGGTGAACTCACTTTCTGAAACGCATATTCCATGATGAATTGCTTGACAAGGGTCTTATAGGACGGCTGGCAACTCAAGTTTCAAATATGAGGGGATTTTTTGGCGTACCCGAAATCTCGCTTGCGGTAGGGCTTGATGGGGGTGTAGTTCTTGTCGTAGTAGCACGTGGATCCGTCAGGTAGGCCGCCTGACTCTTTGTCGCTGGCTACGGCTAACCACGGCCCTGCCACATACGATAGCGTCGCGAAGGATGGGAGCTCACGCATGTGTGCACTGAAGGGCTGAATGCACGGAAGTGTCTCCCGTGCGTCCTCGTTTTAATGCTTAATGGAAACCGGACTCGTAAAATCAATCAAAGAGGTTGTGAACAATTTGACGAGGTCCTGACGAAGCGCAGAGAGTAGCACCTGAGATCAACGAAAGAAGAAGCAGCAAGGTAAGCGATGCGTGGATCTTCATTCCTGCTACTATAGTTCATTCCGCTGCGAACTGTGCTCTATATGATTCGACCAACCTCCGGCGAGGAAAAATCCAGACGTAGAAATTGACAGAGACGGGGAATTCGAGTCTCCTAGTCTTTTTAATACAGTGAGCTAGAGCGAGAAAATATTGCTCGAAGTATCCTTATTCCTCAGTAGTGTTAAGGTCGTGCAGTAGCAGCGCCTCTCAGCACTTCAACTCAGTCCAGCTAACAGCGATTGCAACGAGGTGGATGCATCGCTGGCAACAAAGGTGCAACGGAGCAACCTCACTAACGTCGAGGTAGTAACAGCTCGAAGAGAGTCTATGACGTTGGGGCTTCCTGCAACTAGCTTAGCGGTGAGGTACCTGGGGCCTGTCGTTCAACTAGCTTATCAGATTCCAAATTTACAGAAAATCAGCCCCAGGGAGCAGTCCAGCTAGCCGAGCTGTGTGTGGTATCCCAAATTCGCCAACGAACTGCAAGCACTGCAACTCATGCGGAAAGTGTGCGCGACTCTGTGATGGCGACATCATGTGCCACCTTGTCATGTGGAAATTCCCGGAGGGAAAAGCATGTGCGACATTGTGTGGGGAGACGGGAGGGAAAATCATGTGCGACATTGGATGGGGCATGTGCGTGGGAGGGAATTCTCGAAAAGCCGAAATTTGATGCATCCTCTGCTTTCGCTGCAGGTCCTCGTCGTGTCGCAGCACGAGCCGCTTGGTGAAATGAAATTTCCATACGCAATCAAGTCCATCCAAAATCCTTGGCCGTTGGATTCCGTTGCTGCAAGGGATGTGTTCCACGTCCTCGTTGCTCACTAGTAAGTAACAAGAATCTTATTGCATGGAATCTTATTGCAGGAGGTTGATGGCTGTTAGATGCAACTTCTGTCAGCACTATTAATCAACCTAAGCAGTATAAGGCTACAAGCAATGAATATAGCCTATACTACTGCCTCCACAGCAGCAGCCACCTCCGCAATGCTCGTATACTGCTGCCTTTCCTTGACGAGGCGCTTGCCGAAATTGAGAGCCCTGCGCTCGCAAGCTGCCCTCACATCAGGGTCGGCAATGGACTCCAGATCCTCCACATGCGCGATGCCAACAATGCGCCTGCAAGAGTAGACAAAACACAGACACTCAGGCATCAGGACTTCCATTCCCTCGCAGATTTTCGTGGACGGCAGAGCCTGACACCTGAAAACCGAAGCCACAACCAGGTTCTGCGACCCCTTAAGCCTGCAGCAGCTCTGACCTGATCATCTTGGCCCCGGCGAATCCCAGCGAGTCGAGGAAGACCTCGCGCAGGAAGGCGGTCTGGGCGGCGGAGAGCAGCTCGGGATTGTCGTGGTACAGCGCCTGCGGGTACGCGTCTCCCTTGGCAAGCGCCTTGTCGTTCCACAGCGCCAGGAACTTGGTCTCAAACTTCTGCCACGTCTCCGAGAAACACTCCAAGATCCACTTCTTGGCCGCCTGGAAGAGGGATAGGAAGAGGAAGGGATAGGATGAGAAGACAGGGCCTTTGTTGTGACACCTAATTGCTACGCACTGCTTGAGCCATATAATTAGGAGGGCCCACAGAGAACACTCACAGCACGGGAGTCATCAGCAGTGGCATGGCCGTCCTGACTGAAGTAGGCCAGCAGCAGGTTGCCCAGGAAGGCCCCGATGTCAAAGCCCATCGGACCGTAGAACGCAAACTCCGGGTCGATCACCACCGTTGATTCCTCCGTGACCATGACTGAGCCGGTGTGCAGATCCGCGTGCAGCAGCGCCTGCGCGCGCTCACAGAACCTGCCAAGTGTGTAGGTTGCGACGGGGAAAGGGGTATATTGCGTAAACATCTCACACACAAGAGGTGGAAAAGTGCGGAAATACAAGAGGAGGTGGAAGGCAAGGAGCGTTGAGCTCACTCGCTCTGTGATAGAAGCACATCTGACCTCTGATAGAGCGTTGAGCGCACCAAGTGAAACGAAAGAGCAGACACAAGGTCAGAAGCCCCACTCACTTGCTCTTGAGCTCCGTGATGGCCAGCTTGAGCGCCACATCATCCCTCAGCGCAGCAGCATCGGCGTCCAGCTGGGGCGTGGTCCAGCGGTTGTTGGTGGCCTGCACGTAGGGCTCTGTGAAGATGACCTGCTCCGTCAGCCGACACATCTCCACGTTGCCACAGAACTCACGCACTGACAGGGGCAGCAGCAGGGGGCAAAGAAATGGCAGAGCAGAGTGTTGGAAGATTGTCGTAGTGTTATGAACATCAAACGAAGAAGGTGCACGGAACACAAGCCATCTTGCATATGCTGTTTACTTTCATTGATTATGGCTCACCTTTGTCGCGGTAGACCTCGGTGTTGATGGCGATGAGTGATGACAGGAAGAGAGTGCTCGCAAGGAAGGACGACATGTGCTCCGCAAGACGCGGGTACACGCGCCCCTGCACCAGCGCCTTCCTCAGCACGATCGCCGGCGGCGCCACATACCGCATCACAATCAGCGCCATCGGATGACTGAAGAAGTACACCTCAGGCACCAGCTCAGGCACCCACGCAAACTGCTGCCGCAGCGCCAACGCCTCGTAGTAAATCCTATCGAGAGTCATGGGCCAGGATTCCCCCACCACTCGTACGTACGGCAGCGCCTGCTTCACAACCAGTGACCCCTGTGGCCCTTCCACGATGTACACAAAGTTGATGTTCCCGTCGCCCACCTCCCGCACGGACCACTGGTCCGGGCCGCCGCCGAGCCTGGCGGCGAGGTCCGGGTGGTCCTGGAGGAAGGCAGGCACGGTGTGCTCAGAGACAGGGGTGAAGCGAGAGGCTTCCAAAGCGTCCTTGCGGATGCGGTCCTTGTGCGGGTCGTGCGGCTGCGCGTCGTCCTCCTTCGGGTGCGGGTTGTTGGCGGGCGGTGGGTACATGGGCGAGGAGGGCACGGGTGCGCCCAGGGAGTGGAGGAAGCCGCGGATGTCGAAAACAGAGGCACCTTCCTTCTTCCAGATGACGCCCTACAGAGGAGAGACAGGGGCGCCGGGCACGTGAGAAGGAGGAGTGGAGGGGCATGTGAGAGGCCATGTGAAAAAGGCAAAAGTGAAAAACATATGATTTTAAAAACCGAAGAAACAACCATTCAAATATCACAAGATGAACACTGTATATATCAACCCTTCTCTTCCTGTATGTGATTCGGTGAGACGGATATACCAATCCTCTTCCCTCCCACCCACCTTGTCGGTGATAAGCCCAGTGATGAACTGCGCTGGTGTGATGTCAAACGCTGGGTTCCACACATCAATGCCGTGAGGCGCCACCTGCCATGTGAGTCAACCAGCACAGCACGGCATGGGCACAGCATGGTCACAGCATGGTCACAGCATGGTCACAGCATGGTCACAGCATGGTCACGGCAGTCCATGGAGAGCGCATGACAGAGCCATACAGAATGGACTTGAATAAAAACAAACCAGGAGCGTCTAGAAAAAACAAAAGCTAGCAAACCCCCCAGTGCACTTAAAAAATGTCAAGCAACACACTCCCACTCCCCTAACGCACCTGCGGCCCAGACCCCCCCAGAGCGTGTGTGAGCTCAGCAGCGTGCCTCTCCTCCACCACAATCTCCTTCCCGTTTTGATCGCTGCATCGATGGACGTCAGCAGCGCACCAGAGTCCGCAACCCCAATCCAATCAAGCCATCCATCACCACCCCTTAACGCACCTGATGCCCCACATTCTCCCCTCTAACTCACCTGCGGCCCAGAACCCCCCAGTGCGTGAGTGAGCTCAGCGGCGTGCCTCTCCTCCACAACGATCTCCTCCCCCGTCTTGATCGCTGCATCAATGGACGTCAATGGTGCCGCCACGAAGAAGGGCGTCTTGTGGTGGAAGGCTGACAGCGCCAGTGAGTAGGTCCCGATCTTGTTTGCCGTGTCACCTGGTGGTGCCATGGTTGGTTATGGGAGGAGGAGGAATAAGAGCAGGTGGAGCAATAGCAGGCAGCACCGAGCAGACAGCAGCGAGCACGCAGCAAATAGCAGGCAGCAGGCAGCAAATAGCAGGCAGCAGGCAGCAAATAGCAGGCAGCAGGCAGCAAATAGCAGGCAGCAGGCAGCAAATAGCAGGCAGCAGGCAGCAAATAGCAGGCAGCAGGCAGCAAATAGCAGGCAGCAGGCAGCAAATAGCAGGCAGCAGGCAGCAAATAGCAGGCAGCAGGCAGCAAATAGCAGGCAGCAGGCAGCAAATAGCAGGTAGCAGGCAGCAGTAATCCGTGAACCCACCATTGGCAGCGATCCTATCAGCGCCCACAACAACAGCGTCGATGCGCCCGGTGGCCTTAAGCGAGGCAGCAGCGGAGTCGGCAATGAGCAGCGCGGGGATGCCGTCGTGAGTCAACTCAAACGCAGTCAGCCGAGAGCCCTGGTTGTACGGGCGCGTCTCCGTGCACACGGCCGTTTCCAGCAGACCCTGCGCGTGCAGCGAGCGAATCACTCCCAAGGCAGTGCCATAAGCGGCTGTGGCAAGGCTGTGTGCGGGAACAGGGAGATGACAGGGTAACGAATGTCAGCCGCGAGCCCTGGTTGTACGGGCGCGTCTCCGTGCACACGGCCGTCTCCAGCAGACCCTGCGCGTGGAGGGAACGAATGACACACGGCAGTACCATAGGCAGCTGTGGCCAGGCTGTGAGGGTGCGAACAGGAAACAGGGAGAGGGGTGTGCAAGTCAGCCGCGAGCCCTGGTTGTACGGGCGCGTCTCCGTGCACACGGCCGTCTCCAGCAGACCCTGCGCGTGGAGGGAACGAGTGACACCTAGAGCCGTTCCGTAAGCTGCCGTGGCCAGGCTGTGAGGAAGGGACAAGGGAGAAGCGAGGGAAATATAAGTGAAGCTACGAGCCCTGGCCTGGTTGTAGGGGCGCGTCTGCGTGCACACGGCCGTCTCCAGCAGGGCGTGCACGTGCAGCGAGCGGATGATGCCTAAGGCTGTGCTGTGCCTTAGGCGGCCGTGGCCAGGCTGTGAGTGTGGGAGTGCAGACGACTAGGGAACGGGAGGGACGAGGAGGGATTGGGGAGAAATTAAGACGGGAACAGGAAGAGTATGCAAAGCAGTGGAGTGACTACCCTCACCTACCAAGGGGCGTGTACCGCAGTGGGTGACTACCCTCACCTACCAAGGGGCGTGTACCGCAGTGGGTGACTACCCTCACCTACCAAGGGGCGTGTACCGCAGTGGGTGACTACCCTCACCTACCAAGGGGCGTGTACCGCAGTGGGTGACTACCCTCACCTGCCAGTGTTGCAGTGGGTGACTACCCTCACCTGCCAGTGTTGCAGTGGGTGACTACCCTCACCTGCCAGTGTTGCAGTGGGTGAGCACCCTGAGGTTCTTCCCCTCAACGCCCTTCTGCCTTAGCGCCTCCACCACGGCCTGAGCGCCAAACGCGCCGATGCGCTTGTTGGCCGCCACGTCATCACTCAGCATCGCCTCCGCTGCCAGCACTGTTGCCTGTGGTGGGGGGAGGAAAAAGGGGGCGGAGGGGTGGTTGGCAGTCGGCAGGGAGATGTTGGGCTGGGAAGAAGTGAGAGCAACAAAAACAGCCACGTCATCGTTCAGCATCGCCTCCGATGCCTGGAGGCGGTGGGGGTGATGGTTAACAGATGGCATGGAGATGTTGGGGAGGGAAGACGTGAGAACAAAGAGAAGAGCCACATCATCGCTCAGCATCGCCTCCACTGCCAGCACCGTTGCCTGTGGTGGGGGGTGGTGGGCCCGGGGGGTTGGTTGGCCCAGAGGGGTGGTTGGCAACTTGGCAGACGGCAGGGTGATTACACCGTTATCATTACACCGTTACCATTAGACCGTTACCATTACACCGTTACCATTAGACCGTTACCATTACACCGTTACCATTAGACCGTTACCATTGCACCGTTACCATTAGACCGTTACCAAGAGACCGTTACCATTACACCGTTACCATTACACCGTTACCATTACACCGTTACCATTACACCGTTACCATTAGACCGCTACCATTAGACCGTTACCATTAGACCGCTACCATTAGACCGCTACCATTAGACCGTTACCATTAGACCGTTACCATTAGACCGTTACCATTACACGGTTACCGTTACACCGTTATCATTACCCCGTTACCATTAGACCGTTACCATTACACCGTTACCATTACCCCGTTACCATAAAACCGTTACCATTAGACCGTTACCATTACACCGTTACCATTACCCCGTTACCATCAGACCGTTACCATTAGACCGTTACCATTACACCGTTACCATTACACCGTTACCATGACCACCATTGCCACCAGCACTACCTGAGCTCACCAGCACTACCTGAGCTCACCAGCACAACCGCCTCGGGCGTGGGTTCCTCCTTGGCTGCGTCCTCCGCCACCCTCTTGAGCTTCTCTGCCGCGTCTGATAGGTTGACAGCTGTGGGGCGACTGGGGGGGACGAGGATGGAGAGAGAAGAGTGTGAGAGAGAGCATGCGCGGAGTGGGCGAGAGCAGTCCAGGCAGTGGTTCGCTGGGCGACAGCAGCCCAGGCGGTGGTTCGCTGGAGTGACTGTGGTTGGTGAGAGCAGGTGCGGAAGGGCTCTGCATTTTGTGTCAGCCACCATCGAGTGTAGAACTACTCACCTGAGACGCCAACAACTCTTGATAGGTCACGAGGTATTCAAGGCGATCTGTGATGTGCTTCACGGCGGCGTCAGCACTCTCAAACACGCTGTGCTGGTGCACCTCCACTCCACTGCCAGCGCAAGCACTTTTGGGGACAGCAACAGTCAAACACACACCCACCTGGACACACAATCACCTGCAGACACACCCACCTGGACACGAGGTAGTCAAAGCGGGCAGAGATGTGCTTCATGGCGGCATCAGCGGACTCAAACACGCTGTGCTGGTGCACCTCCACTCCACTGCCAGCTCCTACAGTCAGAAACACACACTCACCTGCAGGCACACGCACCTGGACACACACGCACCTGGACACGAGGTAGTCAAGGCGATCTGTGATGTGCTTCACTGCAGCATCTGCGGATTCAAACACGCTGTGCTGGTGCACCTCCACTGCCAGCGCAAGCGCCGCTGCGATGGCAATCGCCGGCGCTCCCCGCACCACCATGTCCTTGATGGCGTGCCTGAGGGTTGTGATGGGTGCCGCGCGGTGGAGTGCGGTGCAAAGGGATTCACAGGAGAAGGAATTAACTGGCAAGTTCGTGGTCGCATTTCCGGCGTTTCGTGATGCAGGGGTTCCAAACATGATAATGGCGATAACCATGGCGCGAGCATGATTAATGAGAATCGCGAACACACCAGGCAGCTTCGGTGGTTGGGATGTCGAGGTAGATAGACTCGTGAGGAAGCTTCCGCTGGAATCGAGGCAACACGCAGGGCGGGGCGTGAAATCAAAGGGAGAAAGAAGAATTAGCGCTTTTGTCTGGTTACCCGACGGTGTGACGGTGCGCCATCACTACATCGGAGCCGTAATTATTCTTACCCTTTACGTAAGACGCATTCTTTACAAGGGTGCGACATTTTCGTGCGCAGAATTTCACAATATTGCTATTTGTTTTACCGAGAATTTCAACCGAGACCTCCGCTGGAAAATTCTGAGGATTAATGAGGGCTGAAAACACGACTCGCCTGGTCCAGCAGCTCGAGCTTCCCTCGGGAATACCGAATGGCCTGCAGCACCTTCGACTCGCCCGACGCGCCGACATTCTCCGCCGTCACCGTCAGATCTGCAACCGCTGCTGCCATTGCTGGCGAATGTTGACGAAACCGAATTGCTGACGGAGCGTAAGACACGAACTAGCGAAACTACGCGAACACAGGGGACGGCGAGGTGTGGAGGGCGACACGGCAAGCCGGAAGGAATGACACGCCTGCGAAAGGGGTAGGCAAAAGCTGGTCGGGATAGGAATGGGAAAGAATAAGATGAGCTCAAGAAGGAACAAAAAGGAGAAAGGAGAATGGAAGAAAGGGATTGGAGAAATCTGTGGCAGCAGCTTTCGTATGACCACGAGTGGTGGTAACACTTGTGCCATGGCGAGGTGCCGAAATTCGCAACACCCACCAATTTCCGTGGCACAACTGTGGTCAGCGACGAACTCTGGCGACTGCGGCTATGTTCGCTGAATGCTTTGCCTAACAAGCAGAGAATCGAGACACGCAGAAAGGTTTTTGATAGGGAAAGTACATCGCAGCTCCACAGTTTCAAAAATATCTCAATTTTGATCCCGAGTTTACCCAAAAAGTCCAGCTTTGCGGAATTCTGCTCACGCGAGGCCCAAAGTATGTTCAAAACTGGTCCTGCGGGGCAGAAATTACGACACGTGTCGAATTCGTGCAAGGTTTTTTTATACGGGGCAAACCAAACATAATACCCCTGGGGAAACGGGACACAATTTGGGTAATATATTGCACTGCCTGCGTAAGCAGGCAGTGCAATCGAGTCAGCAAGCTGATCGCGGGCAAAAAAAAAAACTAAAACCCTCTCGGATGGGATGCCATCCGAGGGAGCCTCAACCCTAAAATTTTAGGGTTGATGCTCCCGAATGGCATGCCGTAAGCCAAGGGGTTTAATTTTTGCCCGCGGGATACATTTCGGGAGGGATCAACCCTAAACACCGGGCGGGTTCCCGTGTTTAGGGTTGATCCCTCCCGAACAAGTGTCCTGGTTTCCCCAGGGGTATTATTGTTTTTGTGCCCCGTCAAAAATTGTTGGTGTGAAATAGACACGTGTCAATATTTGAGCCCTACAGGACCAGTTTTGAACATAATTTGGGCCTCGCGTGAGCCAAATCCCAGAAAGTGGGACCTTTCTGGGGGTAAACCTGGGGGTAAATATGAGAGAAATCTGAAAGTAAGGATCTAGGATATAGTTTCCCTTTTTGATACCCCGTTATAGTCAGCACACAGCACAGCATACAGTACAGCACACTACCAGATTGCGTTACCTTATTTCTGCCGCTCATGATGCCTTCGCTCACAATAACGTCAACTTATTTACGCATCACATGAACCCCCCATCATCTCGTTTCTCCGTGCTGTTGGGATAGTTTCTGGCCGTAATGACAGGCATCAGATGAAAAGCTTCACCGCATAATGGTCGCTCTCCTTCGAATCGTGGCGGTTAAATTTCGCCGTCGCCGGTTACCTCTTCGCATCATCACCGCGATGGCGTTGGGTCGGCTGTCGATAGAAGAACAGTTCGGGGCGCAGTGCGACGGGCATGGGCGCAGTGCGACGCGCATGGGCGCAGTGCGACGCGCATGGGCGCAGTGCGACGGACTCGGAGTATTCTCACGTTCATTCAGTTGACGCCCGTGCCGCGCGCTCCCCCACCAGGCCGTGCACGCCGTCGCTCACCTCCCCTCTGACGCCATGCCACGGCACCTCCCCTTTGACGCCCTGCCACGTCACCTCTCCTCTGACGCCCTGCCACGTCGCCTCCCCTCTGAGGCAGGCCAACGCATGTGTCACCGCATGTAACCGCATTCGCTCCTGTCGCTTGCGCCTTGCACCGCACATGGCCACTTCAGACCGCGCATGCATTCGGAACTGGTGAGCCGCTTTCGTTTGTCACGCTTCACCGCGCCGCACCCATTACATGTGTTTTGTGCTGTGCTGGGTGCTGTGTGTTTTGTGCTATGTGGTATGTGCTGTGTGTTGTGCTGTGCTGGGTGCTGTTACCAAGGAGGATCATACGAACTCCATTGCTCCGAATAGCAAGGTGAGTCGTGTGGTAATCAGGTTACTTGGTGGGATAGCCTGGTGAGCAATGCATAAGGCACTGAGCACGGGCAGGCGTTGCAGCTGCTCTCTTCTGCTGGCACAACGAGGACCTTACCTACCAACTCCATACCTGCCAACAACAAGGTGAGGCCAAGTGAGGCAATGTGGTAACCAGGTACATGGTGGGATAGCCAGGTGAGTCAGGCAGCGCAGAAGGCGTCTCACAGTTTACACTTGGTGTTGTGACCAAGTTACATTGGTGTAGTATCGTCATGCAGTTACCCTACCATTTCATCCGCTAGCTTTTTTTGTTCCCTATAAGGCCCTCTGCCTGATGTACAGCCGTGATCTCGCAACGGCGGTGCGGGTGTGGGAGCATGGGCAGGCGCTGCAGCTGGTTACTGCGGTGACTAAAGAGGATCTCACCAACTCCATTGCTGCGAATAACAAGGTGAGAAGGGTGTGATGCAGTGTGGTAACCAGGTAACATGTTGAGTAGCCAGCTGATGTGGTTGACTTGGAAGGCACTTTGCTCTTCTCCGCGGTGACTAAAGAGGATCCCACCACCCCCATTGTTGCGAATAACAAGGTGAGGCAATGTGGTAGCCAGGTTTACAGTTTACAGGTGCTTTGGTAACCATGTTACATTGAAGGGTATCTTCATTGTGTTATCTTTTACATGGTTCCACCGTCTCCGTCATCCCACATCATCCCTCTCCGTCCCTCATCATGCCGCTGAGTCATCTCCTCCACCCTTCTGATCAGGCCCTCTGCCTGATGTACGGCCGAGATCTCGCGACAGCGGTGCGGGTGCTGGAGGACCAATTGCAGGCGAGCCCGCTGACAGCTGTGGACGAGACAGTGGTGCTCAACCTGTGCTCCATGTACGAGCTGGCGGCGTCTGATACGCTCAACGCCAAGAGCACGCTCAGCAACTGGCTAACCCGCCTCGCTCCTGATGACTTTGACTTCGCCTGCACTCGGCTGTAGCGGACTCTCAAGGCGTCTCAAACTAACAAAGCATGCAGCAACTGGCTCACGCAGCTTGCTCCTGATAACATTGATTTCACCTAAACACGGCTCTCGGGAAGGGGAGGCGTGCACTCGGCTGTAGCAGATAGGAGGTGTGCAGTACAGCGTATGGAGTAGAGGAGTGAGAAAGTAGGTGTGTGAACGGCTTCACTTCGGCATGCTGTTAACATGTTGATGGGTAGGGACTTCCCTGAGTTTCTGTTGGGTGATCAGCACACATCATTCCCATGTTTGAGAGGACATGTTGCCATGTCAGAATGTAGGCACTGTTGCGTGTTCCTGATTGGTTTTGCATGAAATAATGAACTGAATGTGCAATGTCCCCCTATTCTGCAAAGTCCTCCATTTCCTGTATATCTGCAACACTGCAGAAGGTGCTTCCCTGGTGTGTGTTACCTATTTTCAGTCGTCCATGCTGAGACCTAACCAGAGCTACCATCACTATCTAGGCAATTATAATCCAGAATATAAACCTAGAATCATTCGGGCAATAATATAGCGTGCCACGGTCTTCGGTCTTCGGTCTTGTGGGCCCCTCTTGGCCACTAGGGGGGTTAACCCCTAGTGTTCACCCACACACCGACGCTGAGGTGGGGACCCTTCGTGTGGGACCGCAGCCCCTCAGCGACACCGAGTTGGGCTGCAGCGTCCTACAGCCCAACTCAGACCAGGTGGCGTAACACCTGGCCCGGCAAGGCGGGGTGAGGAGGCCATCAGAGTTCAGGGGGGGCCCCCCCATCCCTCGTCAGAACACTCGCTCACACACAGGGGCGCTTCAGGCGCGGGCCGCGTCCGACCCAACGCCGTCAGCCACCCCTGCCGCACAACGCCAGTGCCGCAGTCGGGGGCGGTCTTCAGGTCTTGGACCCTGCCAGCTGCAGAGCGACACACACCACAAGACAAACACAACACCCGATCAAGTGAAACAGGCACGAGAATACATGCAATCCGAAAAACAGAAAGAAAGCAAGACAAATTCAGAACGAAAGCAAGGCGGAAACGAAGAAGGGAAGTGGTATACCTGCCTGCAGCAATGGAGCAGCACCTCACCTCCGTCCGTGCCGCTTGCCGTGCCGCCCTCCGCACCGTTCGCCATGCTAGAGGGAATGGAAGGGGGGGGTTAACCAGAGGGACGCCTCTTGATGCGCGAGCGCTGCCCCATCGCCCTCCTCGCACCACGAGTAGGCCTAAAGGGAACGGAAGGGGGGTGGGGGGTAGAGAGACAAACGGGAGAAACAGATCAAGTGAAACATGAACAAACACATACATGAAATGCGAAAAATTGAAAGAAAGCAAAGCGGAAATGGACAAGGGAAGAGAGGCTTACCCCGATGCGATGGAGCAGCACCTCACCTCCATCCGTGCTGCCCGCCGAATCGTCTCCGCACCGTTCGCCGTGCTGAAGGGGAATGGAAGGGGGGGGTTAACCAGAGGGACGCCTCTTGATGCGCGCGCGCTGCCCCATCGCCCTCCTCGCCCCACGAGTAGGCCTAAAGGGAATGGAAGGGGGGTGGGGGGTAGAGAGACAAACGGGAGAAACAGATCAAGTGAAACATGAACAAACAAAAACATGAAATGCGAAAAACTGAAAGAAAGCAAGACGGAAATGGACAAGGGAAGAGAGGCTTACCCCGCTGCGATGGAGCAGCACCTCACCTCCGTCCGTGCTGCCCGCCGAGTCGTCTCCGCACCGTGCGCCATGCTAGAGGGAATGGAAGGGGGTGGTTAACCAGAGGGACGCCTCTTGATGCGCGCGCGCTGCCCCATCGCCCTCCTCGCCCCACGAGTAGACCTAAAGGGAACGGAAGGGGGGTGGGGGGTAGAGAGACAAACGGGAGAAACAGATCAAGTGAAACATGAACAAACAAATACATGAAATGCGAAAAACCGAAAGAAAGCAAAGCGGAAATGGACAAGGGAAGAGAGGCTTACCCCGATGCGATGGAGCAGCACCTCACCTCCATCCGTGCTGCCCGCCGAGTCGTCTCCGCACCGTTCGCCGTGCTGAAGGGGAATGGAAGGGGGGGGTTAACCAGAGGGACGCCTCTTGATGCGCGCGCGCTGCCCCATCGCCCTCCTCGCCCCACGAGTAGGCCTAAAGGGAATGGAAGGGGGGTGGGGGGTAGAGAGACAAACGGGAGAAACAGATCAAGTGAAACATGAACAAACAAAAACATGAAATGCGAAAAACTGAAAGAAAGCAAGACGGAAATGGACAAGGGAAGAGAGGCTTACCCCGCTGCGATGGAGCAGCACCTCACCTCCGTCCGTGCTGCCCGCCGAGTCGTCTCCGCACCGTGCGCCATGCTAGAGGGAATGGAAGGGGGTGGTTAACCAGAGGGACGCCTCTTGATGCGCGCGCGCTGCCCCATCGCCCTCCTCGCCCCACGAGTAGACCTAAAGGGAACGGAAGGGGGGTGGGGGGTAGAGAGACAAACGGGAGAAACAGATCAAGTGAAACATGAACAAACAAATACATGAAATGCGAAAAACCGAAAGAAAGCAAAGCGGAAATGGACAAGGGAAGAGAGGCTTACCCCGCTGCGATGGAGCAGCACCTCACCTCCGTCCGTGCTGCCCGCCGAGTCGTCTCCGCACCGTTCGCCATGCTGAAGGGGAATGGAAGGGGGGGATTAACCAGAGGGACACCTCTTGATGCGCGCGCGTGCCCCATCGCCCTCCTCGCCCCACGAGTAGACCTAAAGGGAATGGAAGGGGGGTGGGGGGTAGAGAGACAAACGGGAGAAACAGATCAAGTGAAACATGAACAAACAAAAACATGTAATGCGAAAAACTGAAAGAAAGCAAGACGGAAATGGACAAGGGAAGAGAGGCTTACCCCGCTGTGATGGAGCAGCACCTCACCTCCGTCCGTGCCGCCCCCCGAGTCGTCTCCGCACCGTTCGCCATGCTAGAGGGAATGGAAGGGGGGGGTTAACCAGAGGGACGCCCCTTGATGCGCGCGCGCTGCCCCATCGCCCTCCTCGCCCCTAGTGAAGCCCTGAAGGGAAGGAAGGCGGGGATTAAGCAGAGAAGTCCTCTTGCTGCCCCGCCGCGCTGCCCTCTCGCCCTCCTCGCCCCACGTGAAGGTCCGTACTGACGGAAGTGGAAGGGGGAGGAGTGAGGACGGAGTCGGGTCAGGAGGACGTGGGACAGAGGCATGGCAGAGGGCAGACCCAAGGGCCAAGGTGCTGTGAGGTATGTGAGTGGCCGCAGAGGCCGAGGGTGGGCCCCGTGCTTCAGGACAAGACCAAGAGAGAGCTGGGGCCCCCCCCACTCTCAAATGATCGAGTCCGTCAGCCCCTCGTCAGCTGCATAGCGCTCACTGTCCAATCAACAGCACCCCTCCTTGTGATCGCCTCAATTCCAGCACCCCGTCAGTCTCTCCATCTCGTTCCTCCGCCTCACCCCATGGACGCAGGGGAAGAAGCCAGCACACGTGGGAGAAAGACGCCTCGTCGCAGCGCTGCCTCCTTGCCGCCTCCTCGTCGCGGCTTGCGTCCGAGCGCGTGGTCAGCAGGGCGGGTAGGAGGCAGCCACACGCCTGTGACTGCCGGCCGTGCGTCATCCCAACATGCTCGTGCTTCCGCGAGCCTAGGAGAGAGATGATTAAGGAGAAAATGAAGGAGTGAAGAATGTAGCGATACGGAAATTGGACATATAATGCAGCAATACGAAAATCTGACAAAGAATGCAGCGATACGAAAATCTGACAAAGAATGCAGCGATACGGAAATCTGACAAATCATGCAGCGATACGGAAAGAACGAGTGGCGAGAGAGGAGATAGTGGCAATGACGGCGAAGGCGAGCAGTGAAAGAACGAGTGTGAACAAGTGGTGAAAATATCAAGAGAAGAGAGATTTCTTAGCCGTATTCAGGAAGGGTCGAAGCTGCATGAAGGCGCGCTCGCCAGCTTTGTCTTGCCGTTCTTCCGGAGGCGAGTAGTGATCAGCAGGGCAGCAGCACTGGAGCCTGCCGTGCGTCATCCCACTGCCGCCATCCCACAGGTGCAGCAGCCTCCGCCCCTCCAGTCGCTGCTCCTCCAGTCAAGCAACCCACCCCAACCAAGCTACCCAGCACTCGCTCCCCAACACTCTCTCCCCAGCACTCACTCCCCAACACTCACTCCCCAACACTCGCTCCCCAACACTCGCTCCCCAACACTCGCTCCCCAACACTCGCTCCCCAACACTCGCTCCCCAACACTCGCTCCCCAACACTCGCTCCCCAACACTCCCTCGCAGCACTCGCTCCCCAACACTCCCTCGCAGCACTCGCTCCCCAACACTCCCTCGCAGCACTCGCTCCCCAACACTCCCTCGCAGCACTCGCTCCCCAACACTCCCTCGCAGCACTCGCTCCCCAACACTCCCTCGCAGCACTCGCTCCCCAACACTCCCTCGCAGCACTCGCTCCCCAACACTCGCTTCCAACACTCTCTCCTTAGCACTCGCTCCCCAACACTCGCTTCCAACACTCTCTCCTTAGCACTCGCTCCCCAACACTCTCTTCCAACACTCTCTCCTTAGCACTCGCTCCCCAACACTCGATTCCAACACTCTCTCCTTAGCACTCGCTCCCCAACACTCGCTTCCAACACTCTCTCCTTAGCACTTCTCCCCAACACTCGCTCCCCAACACTCGCTCCCCATCACTCGCTCGCAACACTCGCTTCCTCCATGTCTTGCCTCCGAGCGCGTGGTCAGCAGGGCGGGTAGGAGGCAGCCACACGCCTGTGACTGCCGGCCGTGCGTCATCCCAACACGCTCGCGTCCACCTCAGCCATGCGCCGTCCACGTCAGCTACGCGCCCATGCGCTTCCCCTCCCGTTGCATGCGCTTGCGTTGAGTGCCCTGCATGGAACAACAAGCACGGTGGTGAGTCGAGGACCCGTGAGCAAGCAAGGAAGCGAACGAAGCAAAGAAAAAAGAGACAACAGCAACAAGGAAAGGCGGG